TTTTTAATTATCAAGAATTCAGTGAAGTTGAGAGGCTGGCATCACTGGAGTGGTGGCATAGCTGTTTCCTCTGGATATACATCACATATTGAAAAGAAAGAGTATCAAGAACTAAATGTTCTATTTAAACCTGCAGTGGTTGCTCAGAAAATAAATGAAGATGCAGATCAAAAGTTAGTGGTTTACATGATCTTCATGCAAGAACATTGTACTAAACTAAAGGAGAGAAGTTTGTGTTGATCAGCAACTTTGGCTAAGAAAGTTGAAGCAAATTTTCAAATACTCAACTTCTAAGATTACTGGATTAAGACAGTGGGGTAAGGGACCATTAGCTCACTTTCTCTCACAAACACAACAAAATCACAATTGCTGAACAACCATCAACTTAAAAAAAAAGACAGAACCTACTTAAAAAGATCATCAACACCTAAAGACATAAAGACTGAACCACAGTGAGATGGTAGGAGGGGTACAACTGCGATATAATCAAATCCCATGCCCCCAGAGGGGGAGACTCACAAACTGGAGAATAATTATATTGCAGAGGTTCTCTCACAGGAGTGACAGTTCTGAACCCCACATCAGGCTTCCCAGCCCAGGGGTCCATAAGCAAGAAGAGGAGCACCCAGAAAATTTGGCTCTGATGGCCAGCAGGGCTTAACTGCGGGAGTGCCACAGGACTGAGGGGAAACTTCACTCTTAAAGGGTGAGACTTCACTCTTACAGGGTACACAAAAAATCTCATGCTCACTGGGACTCAGGGCAAAAACAGCAACTTCATATGAACCTGGGCCAGAACCTACTTATTGATCTTGGAGGGTGTCTCCTGGGCAGGCTGTGGGGCAGCTGTGTCTAACCCCGGGGACATAAAAGCTGGTAGCAGATGTAACGGGGAGTATTTATCAGCATGAACTCTTCTCTAGGCTGACATCTTGCTTGGGTCATTAGCACCAAGACCTGGTCCCACTCAACAACCTGCAGGTTCTAGTGCTCGGATCCCTCAGGCCAAATAAATAACAAAGCCCCACCCATCAGCAGACAGACTGCCTAAAGACTTTTTGAGCCCCCAGCCACCTCTAGGCACATGCCTAGAGCAGCAGCTCCACCAGCTCCATCTCCCAGTGATCAGGCACTGGACCCTCCCTCCAGGATGTCTGAACAAGCCCCTGGACCAGCCTCACCCACCAGGATGCAGACACCAGAAGCAAGAGAACTACAATCCCACAGCCTGTGGAACAGTCTAAAAACATAGGTCAGACTCTACCCCTGAACCAGCTGGTCCCTGGCCCTTGGGTGACAAGAAGGGAGTGCACTGCTGGGAAGTACAGGACATGTCCTATAGAGGGCCACTTCTCCAAGGTCAAGAAATGTAATTAGCCTACCACAAACATAAAAATTCAACTAGAAATTTAGACAAAATGAAGTGGCAGAGGAATATGTTCCAAAGAACAAGATAAAATCCAAGAAGAAGAAATAAGTGATGTGGAGATAGGCAATCTTCTTGAGAAAGAGTTTAGAGCAATGATCGTAAAGATGGTAAGAGAACTTGGGAGGAGAATGGATGCACAGAGAGAGAAGTTAAAAGTTTTTAACAAAGAGTTAGAAAATACAAAGAACAGAGTTGAAGAATACAATAACTGAAATGAATTAAAAACTAAAAGGAACCAATCAATAGTAGACTAAATGAGGCAGAAGAATGCATCAAAGAGCTAGAAGACAGATTACTGGAAATCAAAACCAGAGAACAGAAAGGAAACAAACAAAAAGAATGAAAAGAAATGAGAATAGTTTGAGAGACCTTGGGGACAATATCAAGTGTACTAATACTTACATTATAGGGGTCCCAGAAAGAGGAGAGAGGGAGAGAGGCCCTGAGAAAATATTTAGAGGTAACAGCTGAAAAATTAACTTGGGAAAGGAAACAGTCACCCAAGTCCAAGAAGTTCAGAGAGTTCCATCCAGGACTAGCCCTAAGAGGAACACACTTAGATATATTATAATTAAATTGACAAATTAAAGATAAAGAGAGATTAAAGTAACAAGGGAAAAGCAACAGATAACATACAAGGGAACTCCCATAAGACTATCAGCTGATTTTTCAGCACAAATTCTACATGGCAAAAGGGAGTGGCATGACATATTTAAAGTGATAAAAAGGAAAAACCTACAACCAAAAATACTCTAACCAGCAAAGCTCTGGTTCAAATTTGATGGAGAAATCAAAAGCTTTACATATATATATATGTAGACTGCTATACCAAAACCTCATGGTAACTACAAACCAAAAACCTATAGTAGACACACACACAAGAAAGAAAAAGGAATCCAAACATAACACTAAAGATAGTCATCAAATCACAAGAGAAGAGAACAAAAGAAGAAAAGGAAAACAAAGACTTACAAAAACAAATCCAAACAATGAACAAAATGGCAATAAGAACATACATATCAGTAATTACATTAAATGTAAATGGACTAAATGCCCCAACCAAAAGATACAGACTGGCTGAATGGATACAAAAGCAAGGCTTATACATTTGCATGGAAATCAAAAGAAAGCTGTAGCAATATTTATATCAGATAAAAAAGACTTTAAAATAAAGACTGTCACAAGAGATAAAGAATAACACTACATAATGATCAAGAGATCAATCCAAGAAGATAATATAACAACTGTAAATATACATGCACCCAACATAGGACAATCTCAATATATAAGGCAAATGTTAACAGACATAAAGGGAGAAATTGACAGTAACACAGTAATGGACTTTAATACCCCATTTACATCAATGGACAGTTCATCCAGACAGAAAATCAATAAGAAACATAGGCGTTAATGCATTAGACCAGACAGACTTATTTAAAATTTATATAGCATTCCACTTGAAAGTAGAATACATATTCTTCTCAAGTGCACATGGAACATTCTCCAGGACAGATCACATGCTGACCCACAAAGCAAGCCTTGGTAAATTTAAGAAAACTGAAATTGTATCAAGCATCTTTTCTGACCCAATGCTATGAGACTGGAAATCATCTACAGGAAAAGACTGCAAAAACCACAAACACATGGAGGTTAAACAATATGCTACTACACAACCAATGGATCACTGAAGAAATCAAAGAGAAAATAAAATACCAAGAGAAAAATTAAAAAAAAAAAAACCCACGATGATCCAAAACTTCTGGGACACAGCAAAAGCAGCTCTAAGAGGGAAGTTTATAGTGATATAAGCTTACTTCAACTAACAAGAAAAATCTCAAATAACCAAACATTACACCTAAAGCAACCAGAAAAAAAAACAAACAAAACCCAAAGTTAGCAGGAGGAAAGAAATCATAAAGATCAGAACAGAAATAAATAAAAGAGACTACAAAGTCAATAGAAAAGATCAATGAAACTAAAAGCTGGTTCTTTGAAAAGATAAACAAAATTGATAAACCTGCAGCCAGACTCATCAAGAAAAAAAGGGAGAGGGCCCAAATCAATAAAATCGGAAATAAAGAAGGAGAAGTTACAACCGACACGACAGAAATACAAAGGATCATAAAAGGCTACTATAATAAAAACAAGCCAATAAAATGGGCAACCTAGAATAAATAGACAGATTCTTAAAAAGACAATCTCCCAAGACTGAACCAGGAAGAAATTAAAAATATGAAGAGACCAACTACCAGTACTAAAATTAAATCAGTAATTTAAAAACTCCCAACAAAGTCTAGGACCAGAGGCTTCACAGGTGAATTCTACCTAACATTTAGGGAAGAGTTTAATGTCCATCCCTCTGAAACTATTCCAAAATATCGCAGAGGAAGGAACACTTCCAAACTCATTCTATGAGGCTACCATCATCCTGACACCAAAGACAGACAAAGATATCACAAAAAAAGAAAACTGCAGGCCACTTATGAACAGAGATGCAAAAATCCTCAACAAAATACTAGCAAACCAACTTCAACAATACATTAAAAGGATAATACGTCATGATCAAGTGGGATTCATCCCAGGGATGCAAGAATTTTCCAATATCCACAAATCAATCAATGTGATATACCGCACTAACAGAATGAGGAATAAAAACCATATAATCATCTCAATACATGCAAAAAAAAAAAGCTTCTGATAAAATTCAACATCCATTTATGATAAAAACTCTCCAGAAAGTGGGCACAAAGGAAATATACCTCAATACAATAACGGCCATATATGACCAAACCCACAGTTAATATCATACTCAATGGTGAAAAGTTGAAAGCATTTCTTCTAACATCAAGAACAAGACAAAGATGCCCATTCTCATCTCTTTTATTCAACAGTTTTGGAAGTCCTAGTCTCAGCAATCAGAGAAGAAAAGGAAATAAAAGGGATTCAAATTAGAAAAGAAGTCAAACTGCCATTGTTTGCAGATGACACAATACTATACACAGAAAATTCTAAAGACGCTACCAGAGAACTATTAGAGCTCATCAATAAATTCGGCGAAGTTGTAAGATACAAAATTAATATACAGAAATCTGTTGCATTTCTTTACACTAACAATGAAATATCATAAAAAGAAAGTGAAAAGAAATCCCCTTTAAAATCACATCAAAATGGATAAAACAAGTGAGGAGGGTAGAGCTCAGTAGCAGAGTACATGCTTAGCATGCATGAGGTCCTAGGTTCAATCCCCACTACCTCCATCAAAAAAATAAATAAATAAACCTAAAAAAAAGGATAAAACATCTAGTAATAAACCTCTTGGGAGGCAAAGGACCTATATTCCGAAAACAGTAAGACACCGATGAAAGAAACTGAAGATGACACAAACAAATGGAAAGATACACCATGTTCTCGGGTTGGAAGAATCAATACTGTTAAAATGGACATACTACCCAAGGCAACCTACAGATTCAATGCGATCCCTATTAAATTACCAATGGTATTTTTCACAGAACTGGAACAAAAACTTTTTACATAAACATGGAAGACCCTGAACAGCCGAAACAATCGTGAGAAAGAAAATGGAGCTGGAGGGATCACACTCCCTGACTTCAAAGCTACAATAATCAAAACACTATGGTACTGGGACAAAAACACATAGATTACTGGAACAAGATAGAAAGCCCAGAAATAAACCCATGCACTTACGGTCAATTAACCCATGACAAAGGAAGCAAGAATATATGATGGAGAAAAGACAGTCTCTCCAGTAAGTGGTGCTCGGAAAACTGGAAAACTACCTGTAGAAGAATGAAATTAGAACATTCTCTAACATCATATACAAAAATAAACCCAAAATGGATTAAGGGCCTAAATGTAAGACTGGATACCATAAAACTCCTAGAGCAAAACAAAGGCAGAACACTCTCATGTAAATCGCAGCAATATATATTTCTTTGCTCCATCTCCTAGAGCATTGGAAATAAAAGCAAAAATAAGCAAACTGGACCTAATTAAACTTAGAGACTTTTGCACACCATCATTAAAAAGTCCATAAATGATAAATGCTGGAGAGGGTGTGGAATCCTCCTACACTGTTGGTAGGAAATGTAAATGGTGCAGCCGCTATGGAAGACAGTATGGAGATTCCTCAAAAAACTAAAAATAGACTTACCATATGATACAGCAATCCCACTCTTAGGCATAGATCTGGAGGAAAATATAATTCGAAAGACACATGTACCCCAATGTTCACAGCAGCACTATTTACAAAAGCCAACACATGGAAACAACCCAAATTTCCATCTACAGATGACTGGACAAAGAAGATGTGATGTGTGTGTGTGTGTGTATATATATATATATATATATATATATGTAATTTAATACTACTTGGTCATAAAAAAGAATAAAGTAATGCCATTTGCAGCAACGTGGATGGACCTGGAGATTGTCATTCAAAGTGAAGTTAAGTCAGAAAGAGAAAGAAAAATACCATATATCACTTAAATGTAAAATCTATACAAAAGGATACAAATGAACTTATCTACAAAACAGACTCAAAAAACCAACCAACCAACCAACCAACCAACCAACCTTTTGCACAGCAAAGGAAACCATAAACTAAATGAAAAGAGAATCTACAGAATGGAAGAAAATATTTGCCAATGAGGGGGGCAAGGGGTCAAAAAAAACTAAACCCAATCCAAAAATGTGCAGAAGATCTAAACATATATTTCTCCAAAGAAGGCATACAGATACACCAGTCAGAACAGCCATCATTAAAAAGTCTACAAACAGGAAGTGCTGGAGAGGGTGTGGAGAAAAAGAACTATCCTACACTACTGATGAGAATGTAATTTGGTGCAGCCATTATGGAAAATAGTACGGAAATTCCTTAAAAAACTAAAAATAGAGTTGCTATATGATCCAGCAATCCCACTCCTGGACATATATCCAGAGAAACTCTAACTAGAAAAGATACATCTCTTACCATTAGTGCCATGAGAAACAGTAATCTGTTGTACTGAAGATGATGAAGCAAACCTGACAGGAACATTGCCCAGCTTCTGCGTACTGGTCTCTGGAATTTGATGTCCACGGTCTTTAGCATTAACAAAAATCTCAGATGAAAATATGGCTTTTCCTGGACTTTCTGTTGTTATCTGAGTAACTGCATCAGAAGACATTTTTCCAGAGAAGGAAGAAACTGGGGCCTTAATCTCCCGTGATGATCTGAAAGAAAAAGAGAAAAGGACACAGAAGGTCATATCCTTGCCTAATCAAATACTCTAATTTCATTCCAGAAGTGGCTTCAGGGAATATTTTGTGGCGATACATCAAAACAAATGGTTAAGTTATTTCTGCAGCACCCTTCACTTTCTTAGATACTTATTACAATGTGATCATGAATGAGTACTTTTATTTATTTTAAAATCTACTTTTATTTTCAATTTAGAATGCTATTATGTAAGTTAGCTGAAGAAAGGGTATTTTTTAGTTAAAGTGAAAATACAATCATTCCTTTTTTTAAATTACTGGAAGTCCATTATAAATTAGGGGACTGTGTAAATGCATAGAGTGTACAAAATAAACAAGAAACTAAGCCTTCCCTCAAAAAGTTTATATGTCAGTGGGAGAACTGGAGGTTTTTAAGGTTGTAATTACATATAAAAATTATAAAGACTCCATATTAAAACAGAATGGAGCAAATAAATGATGGTATACAAAGTAATAGGAGGGAGGAGACAAATCTTCCTAAAAGAAGAATTCCAAATAATATATGTAGGTATCTTACCCCCCACCACCACCCACCTCCCCACAAGGAGATGAAGCTTAATCTCTCCCTTCTCTCTTGAGTATGGGCTGGATTTAATGACTGGATTCCAAAGAAGAGAGTATAAAAGGAGAGAAATAGTAACTTTTAGTGGAGCAATGTAGCAAACACCATGTTATCCAAGAGATGATGGCTCACATCATGTGAACGTTACACACTCGGCTGTTATGATGTGATGAGAACAGCACTGTGCTTCTGCGATATTCTTTACCCAAATACATAACTCCTGTCTAATCATGAGAAAAACATCAGCCAAACTCAGAAAAATTCTACAAAATATCAAACCAGTATTTTTCAAGACTGTCAAAATCATGAAAAACAAGGAAGGAATGAGGAACTGTCACAGACCAGAATTGACTAAGGAGACATGACAACTAACTAAATGAACATGATATAGTGAATTGGATCCTGGAACAGAAAAAGGTCATTAGTGGGAAAACATGAAATCCAAAATAAAATCTGAGGTTTAGTTTACAGTAATGTATTAACATTGGCTTCTTAAATTTGAAAAATGTATTATGAGAGTATAAGATGTTAACAGTAGGAAAAAGTGGGAGGGGGTAAAGGGAACTCTACAATCTTTCTGTCTTTTCTGTTAATCTACAATTATTTGAAAATTAAAAAGTATATTTTTAAAAACAGTAATATTGTGCTGAATTATATTGGAGTAATGCTATAATATATCACAAAATCAGAAGGGCTTTTAAATCTCTACCCTCTGCCTACTATCCACTAACTGAAAGGACAATTGTGAGAAAAGAAAATAACAGGCCAATCTCCCTCATGAATACAGAAGCAGAAGTCCTACAAATGTTAGACAATCAAATGTGTGTGTGTGAATTCCTACCAAGATGGCTTACTCCAAAAGTGCAAGATGAGTTAACATTCAAAAAGCAATCAATTTGATTTACCACATCAGTAAATAGAAGAGGAAATGTATATGACCATTGTCAATATAGTCAGATAAGGCATTTGATATAATTTAACAAAAAACTCACAGCAAAGGGAAACTACAAAAAACTTCAGAGCCACCATCTTATTTATTATGAAATGTTGGAGATTGTTCACTGTGAGATCAGGAACAAAGCAACTCTTATCAACTCTTATCTTTTCTATTCAACATATTAGTAAAGGTCTTAAATGGCATTAACAGTAGGACACAAAAAAGAAATGAAGATATAAAGATAAGAAAGGAAGAAGTAATACTGTTATTTTTCATATTTGATATGATTAGGGATATAGAAAGTCCAAAACAGATAACTTACTAGAATACAGAAGGTTTTTAGAAAAGTTGCCAGCTAAGAAATCAGCTTTTAAAAAATTTCACATTTTTTAGAACCTGAAAAATTATAAAATTAAAAACTAAAAATGTCATATACACTACCATCAAAACATCAAATACCTAATAATAAGTATAATAAAACATGTTAAGAACCTTAAATAGAAAACTTAATGTAGAGAGAAATTAATGATGATCTAAGTAAGATTTCCAATTCCAGGAAGGATGTACAGGCATGCTTGTTTTCCTGTGCTTCACTTTACTGTACCTCGCAGACACTGCATTTTTCATAAGTTGAAGGTTTTTGGAAGCCCTGTGTTGAGCAAGTCTATTGATGCCATTTTTGCAACAGTGTTTGCTCACTTCATGTCTGTGTCATATTTTGTTAATTCTCACAATATTTCAAACATTTTCATTATTATTATACTTGTTACGCTGATCTGTGATCTTTGATGTTACTATTACAAAAAGATTATAACTCGCTGAAGGCTCAGATGATGGTTAGCATTTTTTAGCAGTGAAGTCTACTCTTTAATTAAGGTATGTACATTTTTTTAGACATAATCCTATTGCACACGTAACAGACCACTATGTTGACTACTGTAAACAAAACTTACTGGCCCTGGGAAACCAAAACATTCATATGACTCTATTATGATAGTCACTTTATTGTGGTCTGGAATAAAACCCATAATGTCTCCATAATAATATGCCTGTAGTAGGCGGCAACAGGCCATCACTCTTGCAACAAGTAAACAAAATTGGATAAATTATAAAAACTATAGTTTAAAAATCATAGAACTATGGAAGCAATCAAGAAACAGTATCAACTAATATGCTAGAAAGGGACATTTAGAGATTCTGGGCTGGGGTTTGGTGTAGGGAGACATACTTCACTGAAAAAGAGAAATCACTAGAGCTTTTCATAAACTAATTTGATGACATGATGGAGTAAAATCTAGCAGAATGTCAAGTCAATTTTCCCCTGCAGGACATTTCCTTAGTGTTAGGATGGTACGGGATGATGGGGGACTGAGCCAGGAAAGCAGAGTGAAATTTCCTGCATAGTCATGGCACTACTAACAAACCAAGCCCCACCAGATAGAGGGGTCTGTGACAAACATTAGGTCTCCTCCTCAAGACATTTGCCAGATTTTGAACCTGCATAAGGCAGGAAGCTAACTAACTGATGCCTGAGGGAGACAACTTTCAAAAGTGAGGAATTAAGAGATCTACCAGGCTTGCAACAAAAACCCAGAAATGCCACCCCCAAGAAGGGAGTTGAGTCAGAAAAAGTGAAATCATCTTCAATGTTTCAGTGTATATGAGACAAATTTCCACTGAAAAAGTGTAACTGCAGTAAATACATACTGGTTTCCCTTTACATCTGTTAAAGCTGTGAGGGCTGAGAGGGCTAAGAGCCTAAAGAACTGAGCTCAAACATCTGAAATACTGAACCGAGAACGCACCGTAATTTAACTACTAAGGAAATAAAGATCTGTCAAGCTAAAGCAAAAACCCAGGGAGGCCACAAATCAGGAAAAAATCATAGGTAGAATGAGACAAATAAAGCTCCAACCCAACTCTGACCTAGTAAAATTCTTGAGATGACTGGAGTGACCTGCCATTCCACCTGATTAACAGAGAATAGGGTAAATCTTCTCTGGTGCAAAGTAATAGCATCTTCAGTCTCTATGATTTTTTTTATTCACAATGCCCACCACACAATCAAGAATTATAAAATTTGTGAAGCAGGAAAAAATGACTAAAAATTAAGAGAAAAAACACAAGACAAACTGATGTACAAAGGATTCAGATAGTGGAGTTAGCACAGAAGGTCTTCAAAAGTGATTATTAATATATTGAGAGTACAAGATAGGGATTAATAGATAAAAATAAGGAGAATCTCAATAGAAAATTAGAATCTATTTAAAAAAAATCAAATACAGACAAATAAAAAATAAGAAAACTGGTCCCCAGTTGGGGGGAAATGGGGAAATATTTGTTTGTCAAAGAGTACAAACTTCCAATTAGAAGATGAGTAAATTCTGAGGATCTACGCACAGCACTGTGATGATATTAACAATAATGTATTATATGGTTGAAAGTCGTTGAGAGTAGATCTTAAATTTTCTCACCACAAAAAAGTAATGATAATTATATGACCTGATGGTGGTGTTAGCTAATGCTATGATGGTAATTACTTTGCAACATATGTGTATCAAATCAACACACTGTAAACCTTAAACTATGTTATACGTCAATTTTACCTCAATAAAGCTAGAAAAAAAATCCTATTCTCAAAAAAAAAAAAAAAGAAACAAGAATTCTTTGGAAAAATGATTTCAGAGCTAGGGGAAGGTACAGTAGCCAATATGAAAATGTTAATAGCTAAAACTGAAACAACTTGAGTACTTTTGCATCCAAAGAATGAAATAAATGTCCTTGAGTCCATACTGATGCACATGAAAAACTAATGAAATAAATAAATGGAGGAGGAACAACAGTTCTTGCTTACAGAAGAATGCCAATTAATAAATGTAGAAGGAATGAAGGAAATAATGAAGGAACTCCATTGGAATATCAGAGTAACGACTGCTATGGGCAAGATCCACTTGAAGGATGCTAAAATTAGTGATCAAAGTTTGAGCAGAAATAAGATATTTGCATAGTCTATCAGTATCCCTCAAATATTTAGTACTTACAAAGGAAAAACATTAACTTCATGGTGGAGCATATTGGTAGACAGTACTTTGGCCAAGTGATCAAGGTTAACATCACCAGTAATGCTTAACAATTTGATGCGTTCCCTGACAAGATGCACTGAAAATGCATAATCTCCATCTAATCTTTTTTTATATAAATAACATCTTTTTTTAAAGTTACTGTTCTCATGTATTTTTATTTTATTTTATTTTATTTGGGAAGGAGGTAATTAGGTTTATTTAATTACTTTTTCAGTGGATATACTGGGGATTGAACCCAGGACCTGGTGCATGCTAAGCTCACATTCTACCACTTGATCTATACTCTCCCCCTCTCAATCTAATCTTGAGACAACATCAGACAAAGCCAAATTGAAAAGACTTTCTCCAAAATAACTAATCAATTCTCTTCGAAGTGTCACGGTCATGAAAAATGAGGAAAGACTGAGAAATTGCCACAGATTAGAGGAGACTGAGGAGACAAGGAGACAGGATAATTAAATGCAAAGTGGGATCCTGGGATGGACCTGAAACAGAAAAGTGGCAAAATCAGGGGAAATCCAAATCAGTTTATATATTTTACTAAAATTTTATATCAAGAATTTCTCAGTTTTGGTTAAATGTTTTACTGTTATGATGTCATAGGGTAATCCTAATATAAGGAGGAGCTTTAGCAAAGGGTATTCTGGCAAACTCTAAAATATCCCTGCAAGGATCTCTGCCTCCTGGCACTCATGCCCTTGCTTAACCCCCAACCCTTGACTTAAGGGTGATTTCTTTTCTCTCTAATGGAATGTGGCAGAAGTGGTAAGATTCACTTCCAAGCTTAGGTTACAAAGACGATGGCTTTTGTTGTGGGCACCCACTCTTGCTCTCTCACTTGCTCACTCTGAGAGAAGCTCAGCTGTCATATGTGAGCTGCCTTATGGAAGGAAGAAACTGATGTCTCTGGCCAGTAACTATGTGAGTGAGTTTTGGAGGACATCCTCTCAGTCAAGCCTGGAGATGGGAACACAGCTAGACCCAATACCTTGTTTGTAACCTTGTGAGAGACCCTGAGTTAGAAGAACCCAGCTAAACCATGCCTGGATTTATGACCTACAGAAACTTTGGGGTAATATTTATTGTTTTAAGCTGCTACGTTTCAGGGTAATACATTACACTGCAATAGATAATTTACACAGGAGCTCTTTCTACTATTTTTGCAACTCCTCTGTAAGACTAAAAGTATCTCAAAATAAAAAAAGTTTAAAACATATACTTACATTTGTTTTATGCACACACACACATGAGTGTGTATATGTATATATAGTTTCAATTATTTGTGGACTCTGGTGTCAGACAAACCCAGGTTCAAATGCTACATCTAACACTTAATGGCCATGTAATTCTGGGCAAAACATTTAATTTCTCTAAGTATTAGGTTCTTAAAATCTATAAAACTGAAGTAATAATCTCTAGCTTTGATGATTATACTAAGTATAAAGTGATACACACATCAACTGTAATGCCTGGTATTTAGTACATTCTGAACAAATGGCATTATTATTAGTTCATATTTATAATCACCTATAATTTTCTTCTCATTCAAGGAATTCAGCTCCAATAACTTGGCATTTTATCACTTAGAAGAGTTTAAGTGTTGTATATAAACCTGTCAATCTTTTAATCCTCACAGGGTTATCACAAGTATTAAATGAGATAACATATTTAAGTCCCTCACTGCCATGACTACCACATGTGGATATTGATTAAACATTTTTTCCCTTTTTTCCAAGGCCAGTGCTCCCCAGTGCTACCTTCTCAACTATAAGGTGGAACTGGGTTATGTGCTTAGCCATACGGTAAGCGTCTCATTAATGTAAAACTGAATTAATGACAGTCTTAAAATTAGGCTGAGTAATATAAGTCGAATGCATTTATCCCTAAACTGGGTTTCCATTCCTACAGACACTGTGAAGTTGAGTAACACATTAGGGGGTACGTTAAGTTGACATGTATTGCTGGTGATATTAACTTTGATATTTGGCTAAAGTGATGTCTGCCAGGAATCTCCACTGAGAAGTTACCTTGTTTTCATTGCAAATACTAAATATTTGAGAGGAATCATGAAATGGAAACAGAGAGGGAGACAGGCAGCACATGCACATATCCCCACACAAAGCCTCGTCTTCAGCTTATCTCCAATGTGATAAACAAGGAATTAGTAAACTGTACCACTCAATGACTGAAGATTCTTCTCAGAGAAATTCAGTGTTTTAAAACACTTGATGTCAAGTCTTGTCAAAAGCCCTTTGAAAGTATAAATATACTACTTTCAGATGTTTCCTCTTACTCAGATATTTATTCCTTTAAAGACTTCTAGAGAAGGCAAATACAACCTGCTCTAAGAGAAATCATACTGCCTCTCCCCCAAGAACTTACATTTGCTTAAGTATTTTAAACCCTTTATCACAAATTCCATCAGCTTGCTTGTCATCACAATGAGACTCACCGATCTGCAGATACTGGAGTCCCTTCTGGACTGGAATATCCTTCCAAATCTGAAATGTTCACTTGTGTTTGCCTTGAGGTTACTATCTGGCTGTTCTGAAAAGGTATGGTTTTCAAGTCCTGAGTAATAATATTACTATCTGGAAGAGGAGACTGTACGACTTGGAAGTCCGGTGAAGATTTAGGTCCTAGAAAACCTAAAGATTCTTGATCCTGTGCTATAGGTTTACTGGTCAATAATTTGGAGGTTGGTTCCAATGATCTTGAAGATACAGTTTGTAGGTCAGAGTTAAACTCACTATTCATTCTTGTTTTAGAGGCAGGATCCAATGAATGAAATCTTTTATCTAAGATTCCACTATCCAGCTTGGAAGGAGTCTTGGGACAAAGAGTTATACGAACGTAAGAAAGTGCTTTTCTATTTGAAGGTGGAATAAATGTGGATGTTATTACTGTACACTGATCTGGGACTGACGGGGAGACCACATTATTGGATTTGGCTTCAACATTTATCATATCAGAAACATGTAATTTAGGTTTCTGCTGATTATTCTTTTCTACTACATAATCCTGACCTTGAGCAAGAGGGGCATGGTGTTTTTTCATGGGATCTACATCTGGGGCTTTGCTTTGTTCAAATAGCTGGCGCTGCTCAAGAAAAATGGAAGAAGGAAGATCTGGAGCTATATAATCCTGCCTTTGAGGAAGGGGAGAGTGGTTTTCTCTCACCTGATGATCTACATGTGGGGCTTTCCTCTGTTCAGAGAGTTCTCGCTTTTCAAGAAAAATACGACAAGGAAGCTTTGGAGCTATGTAATCCTGATGTTGAGGAGGGGGAGATTGTTTTCTCACATGGTGATCTGCATGTGGGGCTCTGCTTTGTTCAAAGAACTCTTGCTGTTCAAGAAAAGTGTGCGAAGGAAGATCTGGAGTAATAGTTACATTCTTCTCTTTTGTTCCTAGTGTGGAACTTGGTCTGCTCATGCTAACAAGGGTAGGGTTATCAGAAGAATGAACTTCCTTGAAATTGCTACCATTTGCACTGCTACTGGGCTTAGAATGACTGTCTTTAAAATCTGATCTTTCTAAGAGTTTTACTTCTTGGTGAGAATGTTCAACAGATAATTTTTGGCTTTGCCTACTACTTTCTGTTAAAATAGTCACAGCTTTACCTGGTGACTGACTAATGATTTTACATGATGAAGGGGAAGAGGTTTTCTGTTTTAGATCTCTAGGAGGATTTTGCTCTTCAGTGAAATGGGAATTAAATACCCCCACAGATCCTCCAGTACACTGGCTACCTTCAGTAACACCAACCTTAAGAAAAGAGGAATCTGAAAAACAATTAGAATGTCGGTGAGATGAGAAAGTGATGGAGGTAGTAAACTTTTTCATGGGTTCTGGGGGCAGCGCCTGTGGTGAAGAATGATAATCCATTTCTTCAGGTGGCATACAAGTAGGTTCTACTAATTCTGATAGCCAAGGATCCAAATTTTCACGGAATGGCATTCGAAGACCCTCGCTAATTTTCAAGTCATTAGCTGTAAAGTGTTGAAATGGGGAATGACTTTGTAACTGCGAGGAATTCCAAACTCTGAAGTGGGAGTTGCTCTGGTCTACACTTGACTTGGAGAGGTTAATGTGCCTGGTCCTCCACGATGATGGGCTCCACTGTCTTCTTCTGATCATTTCTGAGGATTCAGCAGGTCTGAAAACATAAGGGTGGCTGTCCAATTGTGGTTGTTCAGCAGTTAGAGTCCGGAAACATCCTTTTTCATGGCTCTCAATAATAATGTGACTACATACAGCTTCTGACTTGCATCCTATTCCCCGTGGACTCTGTAAACCCTAGAAAATATAAACAATTCTTACTTGAAGTAGTCCGAGTAGTTTTATAAAAATCAGTTTTCTACCTAGGCTAAGAGCTTACCGTGAAGGTAATATTGAGCTTTTACAACAAAACAGGTTAGAACACCGTAAGAAAAAGACAGTTATCTATAGAATAAAATGGCTTATGATAACTAAGACTACACAGTTTTTTTCTAAAAATTTTTCACTAAAGTAACAAAAGCAAAGACTACTGTTGTCCCCCAGTATTCTCACCTTTTTCTTTTAGTACCAGAGGTCCCTTACCCCAACTTCTGGTCACATGACCATCAAGCTGGAGAAGTTTCCCATTTCTTTTGCAGCCAGATGTGACCATATGACCTTGCATTGGAAGAATCAACATTATCAAAATGGCTGTACTACCCAAAGCAATCTACAGATCCAATGCAAACCTTGTCAAAATACTGATGACATTTTTCACAGAACTAGAACAAATAATTCCAAAACTTATATGGAATCATAAAAGATCCTAAATTGCCAAAGCATTATTTTCTAGGTCTTTTTTTTCTTTCTTCTTTTTTATTTTCTTTTCTTGTTGTTTGATGACTAGAGAAGTTCCTTTAATATTTGTTGCAAGGCTGGTTTGGTGGTACTGAATTCTTTTAGCTTTTGTTTATCTATGAAGCTTTTGATTTCTCCATCAAATCTGAACGAGAACCTTGCTGGATAGAGTATTCTTGGTTGTAAGTTTTTCCGTTTCATCACTTTAAATATATCATGCCACTTCCCTTCTGGCCTGTAGAGTTTCTGCTGAAAAATCAGCCGATAACTTTATGGGAGTTTCCTTGTATATTATTTGTTGCTTTTCTCTGCAAATAAATTTTACTATTTTCATATAACCTTTTCCAGAAAAGCCGTAAAAACTTTTGTTACATCCCAACAATGTTATCATTAGATATGGAACAGACTCTTAAAAGATACTACTGGTTCAGCTCAACAAAATCCAACACTCTTTCATGAGGAAACCACTCAGCAAACTATAAATAAAAGGGACTTTCTCAACCAGATGAAGGGCATTTACAAAAGATGCACAGCTAACATTGTACTAAATGGTCAAAGACCAGATGCTTTGTCCTTAGGACAGGAACAAGACAAAGGATGTCCATTCTTCTTTTTATATTCAATATCATATTGAACGTTCTAGCCAGGGCAATCTGGAAAGCAATTTAAAGAAATCCAGAAAGGAAAGGAAGAAATAAAACTATCTCTATTTGCAGATGATATGATCTTCTATATAGAAAATCCCAAGGAAACCATACAAAACCAAAAAGGATTAATAAACAAATCCATTAAAGTTGCATGATATGAGCTCAATACACAAAAGTCAACTGTATTTCAATACACAACAAACAATCCCAAAATGAAATAAAACAATTCCATTTACAATAGCATAAAGAAGAAAATACTTAAGACAAAATTTATCAAAATAAATATAAGACTAATACACCACAAAACATTGTTGAAATTACAAGATTAAAATAAAAGGAAAACTGGTCCAAAGGATTAGAAGACAATGTTGCTAAGATGGCAATATTTCCTATATTGATCTGCAGATTTATAGATTCAAGGTAGTTCCTAGCAAAATGCCAGCTGGCTTCTCCACCCACCCAAAATTGACAAGCAGATCCTAAAGTTCTTACAGAAATTCAAGGGACCCATGGTAGCCAAAACAATCTGGAAAATGACAAAGTTGCAAAGTTGGAAGACTCACTTTCTGATTGTGAAGCTTACCACACAGTTACAGTAATCAAAACAGGGTGGTACTGGCACAGCAACAGACACATAGGTCTCAAGAGAATAGAACTGACACTCCAGAAATAAATACTAACGTTTATGATGAATCGACAAAGAGGCTAAGAAAATTCATTGGGAAAGAATAGTCTTTTCAGTGAACAGTGCTGGGACAACTAAATACCCATGTGTGGAAGAATGACTTAGCACTCCATACATAAAAACTGCCTCTAAAGGGACAGGCAAACAAAAGTAAAAATATATAAACTGGACATCAAAATTTAAAACTGCATCAAAGTACACAATCAACAGAGTTAAAAGGCAACCTACAGAATGGGAGAAAGTATTTGCAAATTATATATCTCATAAAGGAATAATATCTAGAACAGAATTCTCACAACTCAAACAAAAAAACAAAGAGCCCAATTCAAAAATGGGCAAAGGTCTTTATAAATCGACATTTCTCCAGAAATATACAACTGGCCAACAAGTTCAAGAAAAGATGTTCAAATCACTAATAAGGGAAATACAAATCAAAAGCACAATGATATATCACTTTATACCTGTAGGATGGCTATTATGAAAAAAAATACAGAAAATAACAAATGTTGGTAAGAATGTGAAGAAATTGAAATCCTTGTGCACTAATGATGGGAATGTCAAATGGTGCACCTGCTATGGAAAACTGTATGGCAGTGCACAAAAACATAAAAACAGAATGACCATATGATCTAGCAATTCCACTTCTGGGTCTATACCCAAAAGAATTAAAAAGCAGAGTCTTGAGGAGATATTTCCATATGCTCATTTTCACAGCAGCATTATTCAACAGCCAAAAGCTACTCAAGTGTCTATTCATGGATGAATGGATATACAAATGTGGTACATATACACAACGGAGTATTATTCAGCCTTAAAAATAGGAAGGAAACTGACACATGCTACAACATGGGTGAACTCTGAGGACATAATTTTAAGTGAACTAAGCCACATTGTTCGAGGATCAACTCTAAAGTGTCTCAGTGTGCAACTCCAGTTCATGCTGCTTGGAGTTCATTAAGCTTCTTGGATGTATAAATACATGTCTTCCATCAAATTTAGGAAGTTTTCATCAATTACTTCATCAAATGTTATTTTTGTTCTTTCCTTCTTTTGTCTTCCTTGGAACGTCCATGATATATATATATGTTGGTATGCTGGTGGTATCTCATGGCCCTGTTTTTCTTCATTCTTTTCTCTTTCTGGGCTTTCAAGCTTGATAAAGATCAACTGACCTATTTTCAAGTTCACTGATTCCTTTTACTGCCTGCTCAAATCTGGTACTGAAACCTTCTAGAGGATTTTTGAGTTCAGTTATTTTATTTTCAGCTGTAGAATTTCAGTTTGGATCTTTTTTATAACTGCTATGCCTTTTTTGACATCTCTACTTGGTGAGACATACTTTTCTTGGTTTTATTTTTTTGACCACAGCTTTCTTTAGCTCTTTGAACATATTTAAGAAAGTTGATTTAAAATCTTTTTCTTATGATTCCTAGGCTTTCTCAGGGACAGTTTTTATTAATTACAGTCAATCTTTGAACAACGTGGATTTCAACTATGCAGATCCACTTATATGCAAATATTTTGCAGTAGTAAACACTACAGTACTACATGTCCATGGCTGGATGAATCCAAAGATGAAGAGAAATCACAGAAATGGAAAGCTGAATACAAGTTATATGTGGATTAACCCCCACACTGTATTTAAGGGTCAACTGTACTTTTTCCCCCTGAGAACAGCCATACTTTGCTTCTTTAAGTGTTTCATAATTTGTTGAAAATTGGACATATCAAATATAGTGTGGCAATTCTGGGTATCAGATTCTCCCTCATCTGGAACTTGGTGTTGCTGCTTTTTATGGATTATTGTTTGATACTTTTCTAAGCTTTTTTTGTAAAAAGTCTTTATTCTTTGTTGTGTGTGGCACTGAAGTCTGCGTTCCCTTAGCTTAATTCTCAGCTATTATTTTGACAGTTTCCTTAAACACTTGCAGTCAAAAAGAAAAAAGAAAAACAACCTCTCTCAGTCTGTTCTGATTTCCTCTATGCTGAAGCACTCCAACACTTAGCCAGATCCTTTACAGCACTGCCTTAACCTTCACTTACAGCTTGTGCAATGCAAAGCCTGAAAGGTCAGCCAGAAATGAAAGTTTAGGGTCTTCCTCAGCCCTTTTCTGAGAATCAGTCCAGCTCTGGGCATTTCCAGTATAAGCAGGGAATTTCTCAGTATAAGGAGGACCTTTAACAGTCCTATTCCCCATGTTATGTCCTTTCTCAACTGCTTCCTTCCTAAGCTTTTTGGTGTGTCTGTTGTTTATCCTAACTGTTATCCCTAGAATCAGGCTGCTGCAGCCAATACTTTGGCCATAAAATGCTTTTGCCAAACAGGGAAGTTGCCTCAGCCCAGGGGAAGCTCCTAGTTGAGTAAATCAAAGGGAAGCCCCTACACCAGTCCATTAGGGAGCTGTCAAACAGGCTGAAGTACTCAAAAACAATTTTTAAAGAGTAAGACTTGTATTTGCACCCTCTGTAACTACGAACCTGCATCAGGAGTGTGATCTGTCATTTTCAAAGCTACTGCAGATTGGGGGACAGTTAGGCACTATTTAAGATACTTTAGTGCTCTCCTACTGTAGTACAACAGCTTTTTACTTCAGTAATCATTCCTTTTTTTTTTTCAAGTTCTAACTAGGTTCCAGAGCTTTACTAAAGTTGATTCTGACAGATTTTTGCTAGATTATTAGTTATTTTTGTGCAGAAATGGAGCCCTGGCATTCCCTACTTGACCATTTATGGTAGCATCACTTACAAATGTTTTATATGTATAAAAAAAGTATCTGATCTTTGAATATGCTGATCGCCAATTTCAAATACAGATTCTTTACCATACTGAGCCATTGCTGTTCTACTCTAACCCAAAGAAAGATATCTAATTGGGAATAGCTTTTTAATTTTTATTCCCAAATACCTTTTTGGAACCTACGGAAATGACTACAGTTCTCCTGTTAAAATAAAACTTATGTTTATAAATTTCCTAATACTGAACTATCTGCTTTGCTGGCTTAAGCCCCACCTGTTCATGATGTTATTTTATAAAATATGATACTGAGTACCAAATATTAATATTTATTTTAAGCACTTTTCATTCATATTTGCCACATTAGATTCCTTTTAAAAAATATTTGTGTGTG